ACAGCACAGAGAGGAGCATATTTCACTTCTTTGAGGACAAATTATTTTTTTTTCTTCACTTTGTTCTTAAATGTGTGATTCTGAGGCATTATGTGTCTGATTCTTGACTGGTGGATTTATTTTTTTTGTAGTGATAATATTCATTCAAAACCAAAAATACAGTGGCTCGTTTTGAGCTACAAGAAGTCAATATACACCTTCAGTGCTTCGCCTGTAATTACAGCTACCATCTAAATGTTTATAATTCAGCAACAAATTGGAGTAGAAACATAATTATAAAATTAAAAAGTTGAAATAAAAACTGCCTTATGTGCAATTTAAATGTTTATATGCAGTTTTTATTATTGTTGATTATAAAATAAATTTAATTGATTACTTTATTGATTTAAAAAAAAACATTATTTTCAGTCTGGATTTTGGCTAAATTAAAAAAAAATAAAAAAGTGGTTTCATCACTATTTTTTTATTAGCACCCACACGGAATATATGCCAAACCATGTTGAAAATGAATTGATATCCTAAAAAAGTTTGGATGATTATTTTGAATGGTCATTTTTCTCTCCCTCACACACACTTTAAAAAAGCAGTAGTGGATTGATGAGACTGCTGAAAACAAGTGTGTGTGTGCATAGATGGTTGTAGTAATGAAACTGCTTACTGATATCGTACTGCCTGTTTAATATACAGTATGTAGCGGAAGAAGCTGAAGAAATATTTGAAGAGATTTTTTTTTTGAAGCCACCTATAAGTCTTCGTTTTAGGGTATGAAGTTTGGGCTTATGAAGGAGGTCCTTGAGTTAAAATGAGTTTGAGAAACCCTTTTCAGACAGCAGCAGTTGTGTGAGCATATAATGGCCCGTGATGTTTATCTCCTAGATGAGGTCTGTCTAGATGAGTGTTTGCGGTCCAGAATTAGACCTGTTATTATGGACATGCTGTAAAACAGGTATGTCCAAAACACCCGTCTACGTACACATCAATACATCTCTCTCAGCTCTTGAATTAAAGGGTTAGTTCACCCAAAAATGAAAATTAGGCTGTGTGAACAAAGGCCTCCTGTAGCGAATCGATGTGTTTTTGTAAGAAAAATATTCATATTCAAAACGTAATAATCACTTTAATGTAGCTTGCGCCAATAGTTGTACACGGAAGCAGCTCTGGGCGGATGACGTATGAGGTCGGCGTTGCGCATGCGCCGCTCAGAAGTGACGAACGAGGAAGCACAGAGGAGAGATCAAAACAAAAAAACGTTACTAATTGGACGTACAAAATGAGGATTTGTAAAGAAGAATGTCAGAGGATTTCGATATAAGCCAAGAGGAGACTGGTTTTCCTTTGCTAAAGTAAGGAGACTTTGCTTCCTTTGCTCCTGTTAACAAGCGTTGGTTTTCACGAGACTCACCGGCCGTTGGCCAATGTAGGTCCGACGGCGAGCGACGGTCGGGCTAGTTTGTTTGGTGTGTTCCACTCATCGGCTCTCGTCGGGCTTGCGTCGACGGCAGTTTGTCCGATTCAACATGTTTTCTGGCAAATGTAAAAGCACTTTCACACCAAAAGTGAAATGAACAACCCTCAGGCTGAAGGAAATGTAAATTCACGTCTGTACCGTAGAGGGCACCGCTCAAACAAACCTTTTAGCTGTGCTGCCATTCTGGAGTGCATGAAGAACAGGATGCAGGAGAAGAAAGTTCAACATTCTTCAGCAATAAAAAAAAAAACTTAAACAAGTGTTGTTTATCTAAATTCATTTTTGCTTATTAGTATGGTTGAATTGGATCACTGAAAGTCAGCAGCAAAAACAGTGGTTTATAAAATGGGATTAAATACATGAAGCATAATTAATAATTGCAGGTTTGTGTCATATTCTGAATTGCAGATTCAATAGTTACTTATTTGAACATTTTTCTTGTAAATTAAAAGTAATGTTCTTTTACTAGTTACTTGAAAAGTAATCTGATTACATAACTCACGTTACCCCAATGTTCTCCACCAATTCAGACTTCTAACATGTATCCACAGGTCAGGATTTGGTGTGTTTTTTGCAGCTATCGGAGCAGAAACGAAAGCTGCTGCTCTCCTTATCGTTTTTCCATGATCTCATTTTGCATTTAAATGCAAATAGTGTGAACGCAATTTACCCATTTGATCAAAAGAGCTTAAAAAAAAAAACATCCATTTACCCACCCATTGAGCCTTCCCTCAAAAAAAATTAAGGACACAAGTGGTCAAAAGTGAAAGAAAGAGACGGTGATCACATAAACCAAAACACATTTTAAACCCAGGTGTAAATAATGCCTAAATCCGCTGATCAGGTATTTTGAACTTTATCGGGGGTGCTTCTGTGAACCTCACGTTTGCCTTGTTTCAGCAAGTCTTTCCACAGTGATAGCGCAGGAAAGGCTTCTCTCTGCTATTACATGATTCCTAAAGGCTAATCATGTAATACCAGAGAGCTGACACACCAAGCCGACACACCAAGCAGATGGCGAGCGACGGTCGGGCTAGTTTGTTTGGTGTGTTCCACTCATCGGCTCTCGTCGGGCTTGCGTCGACGGCAGTTTGTCCGATTCAACATGTTGCCTGAGAATTAAAGCGAAAGTGATGAAAACAAGCATGTAAATGAAGGCGGTACAGACAGAAGGCGGTTTAAATGTTACGTGATCTTTCCCAATCATTCTAATACGCAAATGTTTTCATAACAACATGAGCTGCTTAAAATTATTAAAGTTATCAACGTTACTGATATTCAAAATGGTAAGCAAGCGCTGCTTTGTTTACGTTTCGTATATCTGCGTTTATCTTGTATATCTTTGTTTCGGTTTCTCCTTTTGAATGACGAATATATACTATTGATAGCTGCTGATATAGAGCGTTAATTCCTCTCACGCATGCGCAGAACGCACATGTTAATTTGGCTGTAGTCTGTGCGGTGTGTTCGAGTGCAGCTTTTTGGTCCGACGCTGCCGATGTGAGGCGACAACACCGTCGGCTTTTCGTCGCTGCTAGTTCTTTGAAGTTGGCTTGGTGTGTCCCAGCCTTAACACCTCCTTCTGTAGTAATTATAATACATTTACATGTTATAATATCTCCCACGCTGCATCCTCAGGGCTCAGAGTGTGAACCAAACCTTTTTAGATTTCATTAATTTAGAATGAATATTAAATATCCGTCACTGGCCAAATCCAGAAATATCTCATGTATTCAGAGCAAAGTTGAACTTCCGCAGAAGCGTCGTCTGTGTGTGTGTGTGTGTGTGTGTGTGTGTGTGTGTGTGTGGTGAAGGGCAGAGCAGCATACACACTCACACACAGATTGGACGGGCCCTGGGCAGGCAGACGAGTCGATCAATGCAGAGGACAGATTCAGCCAAGTGCAAATGCATCGTGTTCTTACTGTAGAGGCGCTGTCAGCGCACACACACTCCTGTAAGCATGCAGATGTGCTTGGTAAATAGGATCCTTTGCCTGCTAGGCCTGTCAGGAGGAAAGTCTTTACTCGTCTGACCCGGTTATGCTTATATCACCATAGAGAGCGAATGTCTGTGTGTGTGTTTGTTTGGGTTTGATGTTTTCTGCGTGTGTGTTTGTTTATTTCTCCCCTTTGCTAGAGACATGTTGTCTTTCCTCTCCTAGCTCTCTGGAGGAATATTCCTCTGTCTCTCAGGCAGGGACTGCTGTCTGCTGTCCGCTCATGTGCTCAGCTCCATAGGTTAAAATGTCAATCAGAGAGTGAGAACGTGAGGATGAGGGAAGGGGGTGCTGGGGAGATCACAGGTGGAATCAGAAAGACAGAGAGACTTTGTTTATTTTTGCATTCATTTTTTGTCTGAAAAATGCTTTGGATACACAAATGTATCGCTGTTTGTTATGCCAATAATGTGCACAAAAATCTAACTGACATAGCTTGAGATATGACTCAAGGTCTGTTCAAAAACATTCCTATTTTTAGGCATCATATTTACGGTCCAGTGACTCTTCCAAATAATGGGTGGGCGAAGATCATGATACCTGTCAAGAACATGAACAAGACGATCTAGATTTCATCCAAAAACCAAAAGAAAAAATTATACATTTTATTTAGCATATACAAAATGAAGCTCTCTATATATTTTTTAATTAATATCTTTAAAAAGTCTCATCCAAGCTCAACAAATGCTGAATTTATTTGATCAAAAATACAATAAAACAGTAATATTCTGAAATATTATTGCAATTTAAAATAACTCTTTTAAGATATTTAAAATATAACTTATTCCTGTGATGTAAAAGCTGAATTTTCAGCAGCCATTACTCCAGTCTTCAGTGTCATGTGATCCTTCAGAAATTATTGTAATATACTGATGTAGTGCTCAAGAAACATTTCTTATTATTTGTTGTAAACCGTTGTATTGCTTCATGATGAGAAAGTTCAAAATAATCCCAATTTATTCCATCCTTGCAAATTGTGAAGTGTTTTGTTGTCATGGTGGTATTTTCTGTACTGCTTTGAATTAATGGAGAATGTAATTTAAAAACAAAAATTAAATGTGTTCTTAACATGTTTTTTGTGAGATGCATAATTATGCTGCCTTGTTTGACATTTTATGTTGGCCAACTTCAATCATCATAAGGCAATCATAGAATGAAGTGTGACAAGCTTAGTGCAAAAAACAAAAAAACAAAGAAGAAATTATTGATAAAAAAATAGTTCCATCTACTTAAACTTGTACTATTAGGAGCCTATGATTTCAACATTTCCTCAAGCTGTTAAGTATTATGAATTAAGTTTGTTAGACATGTTTTTTGATTATTAAAATTGTATTAAACCATTCAAATGGAATCCAGAAAAAAAACTATAAAACACAGGATTTGGAAAACAATAAAAAGCTTTCATAGGGCCCTAGACTTTGCATGTGCTATTTAGTATAACATATTGCAAATTTAGTGACATGTTAAAACCAGCAACAATTTTGTCACTTAGCTCTTCTCTTTGTGTTTCCTTCTGTGTCTGTCTGTCCACAGGTAGAATGTAAGAAAGCCCAACCAAAAGAGGTGATGTTTCCTCCAGGCACGAGGGGGAGGGCGAGAAGTCTTCCGTACACCATGGATGCTTTCATGCTGGGCATGGGCATGTTGAGTGAGTCTCACATGAACACACACACTGATTCACTGAGGGGTAGCTCATGGGCGGGGCTTAAGATGATGAATTCTGATTGGCTGCTAGACAAGAGATAAAGGTGTGTCTGTTAACGTGTCTGGTTAGTTCAGCTCAGGTGCTATAGGATCCCTCAGACCTGACGAGTAGAAAAACGTTTGTATTAATGGCTCAAATGAAGAGGAAAATTAGGCTAATGTGCCTTATTCAGTGCAGCCATCTGCCTGACCTCTGCCCTTGCTAATGACAGTTGCACTGAACGAGAAGAACACATCGGCTATGGGAGACAAACCTGCTGCCAAGATCAGTACTGTTATTCATTCATAACACAGATATATAATAAATATAGCTGCAAGGTGCTATTATCGGGGTTCTAGCACATATGAAAAAAGATATTATGTATTATTTAGCAAGCATGTAAACCTAAATTAATGATTAAAAAAGCATTTTTGGCAAATCCAGATGATTTACCTTAGAAATATGATGATTTGTATAGTGTTATTTTATAGGGATGCGTCGATCCGATATTCATATCGGGTATCGGCTCTGATAGTGCTATTTTTCTCGGATCGGGTATCGATCAGAGAGAGCCGATCCAAGCCCGAGATTTTTTTTTTCTTTTTTCTCTCCGATTGTTCGAATTATTCTGTGTTACTTCTGAAGCCATACATAGCTTAATGTGAGCTACATATGAATATTTAAGTCCTTACATTAAAGTTCACACAAACTCTTTTCTCCGCTGTGCCTGTCAGTCATAGTGCTATTTTTCTCGGATCGGGTATCGATCAGAGAGAGCCGATCCAAGCCCGAGATTTTTTTTTTCTTTTTTCTCTCCGATTGTTCGAATTATTCTGTGTTACTTCTGAAGCCATACATAGCTTAATGTGAGCTACATATGAATATTTAAGTCCTTACATTAAAGTTCACACAAACTCTTTTCTCCGCTGTGCCTGTCAGTCATTCGTTCGTTCAGCCTTTAAACCCTGGTCGCGTTCGGTTACAGCAGTCAGCTCGGTAAAGCTCTCTCCAAGATCATTCTGTGTTCCCATTATACTTGATTTGTAAATACATGTCTATGATTTTGCAAAAAGGACTTTATCTTCTTGTCGGAGTTTAATGTTTTGTTACTTGCTACCGGATGTCTGTGAGAACAGAACACGGGCGTAGAAAAGACTATAAATAGTTTTTTAACGTGCACAGTAACTGAAATTTAAAACTGTTAAAAGAAAGGCTCAATAACTGTTGCACAGATATAATACACTACGCATCAATTTCTCTTCCCTTTGTGCTTTGCAGTTTTTAACATGAAGCGCTTACAATGTGCGCACGACATTGTAAGCGCTTCGTGCTCATAGACTGTCAACCCTCTA